ACGTTGTGTTAAAATGGTCAAGCATCCTCGAGGCAGTTACACAGTGCTTACAACTGTCTCTGGAAGTGAAAGCACCAGAAAATAAATTAAGTCATACGTAGCTGTCATCTGTACGCGAGGAAGTAAGCACAAGATGCCGAACACCCTTAGCAGGATGCAGCTCACCCTTCATGCAACTCGCCAAATACCTCACGGCGCTTCGCGCTTGGTGATGTGAGAGCCTGGTCCGGTGAGAACCCGGCGTGCTCCGTCCCGGCTTTGTAGGGATGCGAGGTCAATGGTCTAACGACTACGGCATGCACGACTATGAGTACACCCCCCCCCCCTCACGTGTGCACACCAGGCTCAAGGCTACCACGTACAACGAGCGTTGGAGAAAAGACCGCCAGGCAGCGGCCTCGGTGCTTCCTCCCCGCTCCAGCAAAGAGCTCAACTTCGACCTGACTGCGACAGGCTCCGAACCGCTGTCTTCGGGAGGACGGGCGTCAGCCGCAGCAGCAACGGAAGAAGACGCCATGGAAGGAGCAGGTGTGTTTTGCGAGCGTTAGGATTTGGGTTAGGGCCCCCGCGGTAGCAAACGATAGCATCGCCTCGAGTGGGAGTAGCGGCTCTACCGGATGGGCGTTTGATTATTAGGATGCTCATACCGCAGGAGGAGTGGGGGAGGAACTCTTCTTTTGTGACCACGGGTTGGAGCTATAGCTCCTACCCGGCAAAATTGCTGCAGGGTCTGATTTGTACCGATGGAAAAAAAAAAATGTCGCAAGAGGGAATCGTCGTCGACACGCGAGATTGTGCCTTTTACCGAGGGAATTTCCACAAAAATCAGGAATATTTTCTGGAAAAATGCGGGGTACTTGTAGGTTCTTGTGCGCAGCATTGGGTGTGGACCGGGCGAGGGGCATCGGAGAAGATTGACTGGACTGGTTCGGGTCTAGCCAAGCCAAGCGAAACGAAATGCTTCGAGTTGCATGACCAGCGCTAGAGTCGTGTAGATTGCTGCTTTGTGTAAGCGCGTTCTATGCAAACACACACGCAGCACGTCGGCAAAGCCGGCAAGACTGCCAACATGCGTTGTTTCAATTTGTAGAATAATCACCACTGGCATACTTTTGCGTTCACTGATGATTATTCTAAATCACCCAAGAGGTTTCCCTTTGTGTTGTCGTTGTCCATGTAGTAGTTGTTGTTGAGTTCACATTAATAAACCGTTCCGGTCTCTGCTCATAACCTATTATCCGCACCGGCCCAGCTGAGGCAGACGCTGTCCGTGCTCACAGACCCTTTACGCGTTTCTATTGGAATCTCGTGTGTCGCTTTTGATGTGCTCTGGTGGTGGTGCTTGGTCCGTCCCATGGCGGCCTTACCCCGCCACGCAACTTCCTCGTGCTTCACGTCCTTCTGGCGAATCCTAAAACACCGGACCCTCAGCGGCAGTACAGAATTGCAGGGTGTATTTTCCCTACCACACCTGCTTCTGGTCCAACCCCTTAATTCTGATCCGAAGCCTGTTACGCGGCAGCGGGGGCGGACGAAATGTGAGCGCCCCCCATCTCTTCTCCATATCAAATCCCTACCGATGTTCCCGAGACCCTGAAACGGCAGCGGGAAAGACTTAAACTTGTTCGGCGAGCGCCCCCTACTTTTCCTCCAGACCATTCACCTACCTTTGTCCCCGAGACGCTCACTCAGAGGGCAGCGGGAAAGGCTGAATTGTTCGCTGCGCGTTGTGTTGGAAGAGGAGAAGGACACAACAAGAGAGACAGCGTGGGTCGCTTGATCCCGGTTCAGATCCTTTCGCTCGGAAACTTTACTCAGAATTCAGCGCGCACGGCTGTTGTTGCCTATGCTTCGGACACGAGGAGACCGATATTTCAGCATGGGTGCAGATGGTCTGGTTGATCAAACCCCTGCCTTCAACCCCGAGACCCTAAAACGGCAGGCAGCGGGGCAATACTGAATCGTTCGGTGCCTGTCCCACCTCTTCTCCACATCAAACCCCTTACCTTTGACCTCTAACCCCCCCCCCCCTCCCGACCTTGCGGCCTTGAACAGTCGTCGCGTCCTTCAGCAGCGGCAGCAGCGACGTCGTCGGCAGCCCTGCCCGATTATCCCCCGGAGGGGGCTCCTCGTTCTTGGTCAACGGAAACCCGGGTCGGACAGCGGCGGTGGGTGTTCGATCGCGCCCCGGTGGCGCTGGTTCTCCCGGGGGTGACGAGAAACAGGAGAATGAAGGGTGTGTGAGCTGGGGGCTCTCGGCGAGCCCCGCGGGAGAGTATGGCGGCGGCGTCGCTATCGGGGGGGACGTGGATGAGGAAGCGGGGGGGGGGGGAAGGGGCGAAAAGGAGCAGGTCGTGGAGGTTATCCTAGAGGCGGGGGATGCGCTGACCGCCAAGGAAGCCTTGCTGCAGGTGGGGAGAGGTCCCGCGTGGAGTGGGCACGACAGGCCGCCGTCCGAGTTGGAGATACTGTAGCCTACTCACTCCGCATCATGTTCCGCGTGGAGCAGCACAACATGCCGTCCGAGTTAGATGCAATTGTAGCCACTCCCCGATGGTTGTTGTGGGTGCAATCAGTTGTGATGATGGTCCCTCTGGTGTACGTCGCCGCTTGCCGTTGTTCGGGATCCCCTCCCCTGCCCGTGGGTATTTTGCAGCGGGATATTTCGTTGGTATTGTCTGCAACAAGACTTGAGGCAGCGTCAGGTAACGATGATCAGAGCGAAAAGAGAAGGTCTCGAAAATGCACTTACGTTCGACGTTGCTCCGCAAGGGGGACCAACGGCGTTCTCCCCGTCGTCTCTCCGGAGACGCTTGTGAATCGCCTTAAAACGTAGATTGTCGTGGTTTTATCTCGAATGGAGATTCGTGTAGCGGTCACCGGTCACAGCAGTTCTTGAAGATGAAGTCCATTCATCAACGAACAGGCCCCATTTTACGTCCTCCTGCCCCCCTTCCCCCCCTTTTGCGTTGGGTGCGGGCCCAAACCTGTTGTTTTGCGCCACCCGGATGTTATCATGTTATCATTCAGGGTGTGCCTCCCCCCCCCCCCACTTTCTGCCCACCGACGGTGCCCCCCCCGGTGAAACTGGACTTGTGCCGCCAATTGACTGATTTGGAAGGCATCCATCCGTTGCCTCAACAATACGGCCATGCCTGATTCTGAGTAACCCCCCCCCCTCGGTGTTTGCCATCGGGATTGGGTTTTCGTCGCTGGGCAACGACGTTGTAAAACAAGCCAATTCACTTCGTGAACTCGGTAACCAGGTTACCGGTTTTTTTTTTTACCTCTGTTTTTTTTTTGGCGGTCACCATAATGGTGGTCGAGTAGATCATGTTGTGCGGGGTGGAGAACCCTCACTCCGCGCAACGGGGGATGATCGCACCACGTTGTGTTAAATTGGTCAAGCATCCTCGAGGCAGTTACACAGTGCTTACAACTGTCTCTGGAAGTGAAAGCACCAGAAAATAAACTAAGTCATACGCAGCTGTCATCTGTACGTAAGGAAGCAAGCACAAGATGCCGAACACCCTTAGCAGGATGCAGCTCACCCTTCATGCGACTCGCCAAATACCTCACGGCTCTACGCGCTTGGTGATGTGAGAGCCTGGTCCGGTGAGAACCCGGCGTGCTCCGTCCCGGCTTTGTAGGGATGCGAGGTCAATGGTCTAACGACTACGGCATGCACGACTATGAGTACACCCCCCCCCCTCTCTCCTGCTCTTTCGTCTCCGCGCTTCCCTCGTGTCCCACCTACAACCCAATTTCTGTTTTTCAAGTTCGCGGGCGTGTGTCAGGCGTTTGTCGGCTGCCGCATGTCTCCGGACCAGAAGCGGCAGCTGGTGCACCTCATCAAGGACAACAACCCGGACGCCCGGACGCTTGCTGTCGGCGATGGGGCCAACGACGTTCCCATGATCCAGGCAGCACACGTCGGAGTCGGTAAGAGCGCATTCAATCCTTGTCGCCTTCGTGACGAAGAGCAATATTTCGTGTATCCACGGAGTCGGTAAGAGTTCATTCAATCCTTGTCGCCTTCGTGAAGAACAGCAATCTTTCGTGTATCCACGGAGTCGGTAAGAGTTCAGTCCTCTTTGTTTTGGTGACGAACAACAATCTTTCGTGCATCTGCGGAGTCGGTAAGACTTCAATCCTGTTCGTTTTGGTGACGAACAAGAATCTTTTGTGTTTCAGAGCTCAACCCTTGTCGTTGTCTCATCGAACTGCATTGTTTTGCGTTTCCACGCAGTTGGCAAG